GGATACGTCCCCAGGTGAGAAGGTGCCGGGGGGACAAGGTCGGCACGTCCCCACTGCACCCCGCGCTGAGCTGCATGCCTGCACGGAGGGAAAGGGAGGTGAGCGACGGCCACATCCTGCACTGCCGGGGCTGGATGTGCCGTGGGTGGGCACTGCTTACCCCGGTGGGCTCCTCTCCGGGCAGGCATCCCGGTGTCCCATGCTCCTGGGGACCGCAGCTCCCGGCCCCCATGCTGGCTCTGCTCAGCACCTGCGGGAGAAGCAGAGAGCGGTGCTCAGCGCCGGCTGCTCCGGCTCTCCCACTGCTCCGAGGGCTGTGCCGGTAGCGACGCGGTGCTGGTGCGGGCAACGCGGCAGAGGCGAACCCGTCACAAGTGACACGATGGATGCAAACCTGTCACGTGGACCATGGCAGATGCAAACCCATCACGAGGGACACGATGGATGCAAACCCGTTGCACGCACCATGGTGGACGTCAACCTGTCACAGGGACGCGATGGATGCAAACCTGCTGCACGCACCACAGCAGATGCAAACCCATCACAGTAACATGGTGGACGCGAACCCATCGCATGCCCCGCGGCCGACACAAACCCATCGTGTGCCCCGCGATGGCTGCAAACTCCTTGCACGCAGAGTGGTGGATGCCGACGTGTCGCAAGAGATGCAATGGGTGCAACCCTACTGCATTGCCCTACGGCGGGTGCAAACCCAGCATGGGCACCGTGGTGGATGCAAACCCATTGTCGGCGGTGATGGATGCAAACTCATTGCGTGCACCGTGACAGAAGCAAATCCACCGCGGGCACTGCCAGGGATGCAATCCCATCGCCAGTGACATGACAGATGCCAACCCATCGCGTGCGCCGCGGCCAACGCAAACCCATCACCAGCAACACAATGGCTGCGAACTCCTTGCACGCAGAGTGGTGGATGCCAACGTGTCACAAGCGATGAGATGGGTGCAACCCTATCACATGCCCTATGGTGGGTACAAACCCACCGCGGGCACCATGGTAGATGCAAACCCACCACGGTGGATGCAAACCCATCGTCAGCAGCGATGGATGCAAACTCATTGCATGAACTTAGACATTAGGAACGATTCCTTCCCCTTGGGGCTGTCAGGCACTGGAAGGGGCTGCCCAGGGAAGGGGTCGAGTCCCCAGCCCTGGGGGGATTTAACAG